CGGGTAGGATAAATGCATATAGACATTTCTGGAAATTTTTGTCACTGCATATTGCACTTACAACTTGATTTTTATCGTATTGAGTTATGTGAACTCACTTCTCATCATTCACAGGTGGAGTAAGAACGGAATTGGGATCTGAGCGGCTGGTAACGGAGCCTCGTCGGTAGTGCCATAGGGCACAAGTTTTGTTTGTGATTTAAAGTAGTTTGAAAGGATGGTTTAGTCTGGATATTGAACATCTAGGAATGGTTGATATTGTGTTATTATGTGTTGTAGAGGTAGAGATGTATGTACAATTGATTTGGAATAATGAAGGCGGACAAGTTTCTCTTGTACATGGTTGGAATAATATGGGATTTCGGTATTGTGTTGTATGAGTGCTTTATCGTATACCGTTAGAAAAAAAATGGGGTGTTACAGTAGCTCATTCCTTATTTAACCATTTCAGATGAGGAAGATTTGGTTCTCGAACCCGTCCCGCAGGAAGACGGCGAGTAGACGCCTAAGGAATTCACAGTTTTATTTATAGCATTCATTACTAGTATTTACCTTAGTTAGTTTATTCTTTCACACGTTGAATACGTTTTTTGATTATTGTGTAAGGGATGTTAATCAGAATTTTTATTTCACTTCGGCAATTAAAATTTTTAATACATACATTTCCTTTTAAATTTCTGGGGCCGTTACAATTATTATATAAATAATGTAAATTCTAACTCTATTATTTTATTTTCGTATTTAATTTATAATTTTATTTCTATTTAAATTTTGAGTTTTTACAATATATTTAGAAGTTGGATTAAAAGATAAAGAAACGTATTGACCGGCGAGATTGCTCGGATGCTCGTTTTCACTCTAATTTTTATATACGGGAGACTTTATCTCTCCCCTATTATATATTGCTTTGATTAAATTAATGAAAGATGTTTATTTTTTCAAGAAGAAAAAAAAAAAGATATCGACATCGAAAGTATATAGCTGCCTTAGTTAGAATAGTGAGCTTTATTGAGAAAAGCAGAGGAAAAGTTAGACAGTTGAAAATGTTATAATATTAATAATAAAAGCACTTAACCAGGTTAAGCACTTATTGAATTTAAAAACTAAGACGACTAGTGGAGGTTTCCAAACGCTGTCGTCATTTCAGATAACTCTCGTTGCGTTTTGAAAGCGAAATCAAAGATGACCGGAGCCGTCCTTATATATTAACTCATTTTAAGACCTTAAAACTAAGCCATCATTCCTATATATATATATATATATATATATATATATGTAGATAGCTTTTCAGAAAAAAAAAAAAAAAAAAAAAAAAAACTTTAGCCCCTTATAATTATATATATATTATTTTAAGCCACAATCTCTCTTACCAAAGAGCTTAAAAAATAAGCTAATCAAAGCTGGATAGGATGGGGGACGGCGGCTTCAAATGTAAATTAAACTTCAGGTCTAACAAATCCAGAGTAGTTATTATAATGGGTTTAAAACTGATTATCATCTTATTTATTTAATTCAACTATAAGTTTTTTGAGAGGCTTAATTTAATTACACTGCTTAAATCCTCTTATTAGTGTTTTACCAGCTTCAATTTAAGAGATTAAAAAGATCAAAACCATATTAACTAAACGGACTGGGGACAGGCAAGTTAATTGGAAATTGATGTATATACACATCAAATTAAAAACTTAATTAATATTTTTAATCCATTAACTAATTGAATTAGACTCTGCCTCTTCTTATTTGGTTTTTACGTGTCCAATCTTCTATGAAACTTCTTAAAGTTAGATACAAACTTAAATTATTAAATTATTTTTTAAATTTTAATATTTTTTTCGTTTGCAATTTAAATTTCAATATTTTTTTCTTTATTTTAGATATTTACTTTCTTTTTATTTTTAATATAATTTAAAATATAATTTTAACTAATTAATTAAACTACCAAATAAATAATAATAATAAAAATATGTTTAATATTATTATTAATTTAATATCAAATTTTAAGCTATTGTTTAAAGCATTTAAATATTACCTAACTATTTTTGTAAAAAAAATAAATAAAATGAAACAAAATATTTAAAACACATAAAAAAATATTATAAAGTAAATCATAACTTTTTAATAATTTAAAAAAGTGAAAATTTAAAAAGTAATTCAATAATTTATCATTGCATATACACATATTTGTGAATATACGTGTGATGAGGCGTACAAAACATTAAAATTGCGTCATGCATGTTTCACGCAAGCATCCATCTACTTAGACGACTAATTATCCATCCTTACAAGTCACCAAAATTGAAGGAAAAAAAAAAAAACAAAGGCTTCACCAGGTAGATTAACATTCTAATCACCTAATTATCATTTGGTCAACAAACTAAATCAACCTTAACCAAACTTTTAAACTTCACTTTTTTTTTTTTAATTACTAACAAATTTCTAAGTATCATTTTTTCTGATTAATATATACACATTAGGGTTTTTTTTTTATATAAAAAAAAAATACTGTTTATTATATCAATAACTCTCTTTTTATACAACTTTAATTTTTAATTTTTTTTTTTTTAATTTTAGGATACTGGGAAATATTTATTAATGGGTGTGACAGATTTTTCTATTCTGATTCATAGTTTCTCTTAGTTATTTAGTTTATTTAGAAGAGGTATTGAATTTCAAAAAAAAAAAATGAATGTTTTAAAAGCAACCAAGAAATATTAGAAATTTATTAAGTCTGAAAATAAGAATAAGATTATACAAGAAATACATATTATTGTTGCCATAATATAATAAGATAATTTTGATTATTATTTTAATAACTAAACTCAGACTGGTTAACCCACCACTTAAAACTCTTATTCAAAGTCAGAATCTCTAATTAAAAAGTGGAGCACGGCAGAATCTTCTTACCTTTCTGTTTCATTTCTTCTTCTTCCATCTTATCTTCCCCTTATAATATTTATTTATTTATACATATATATATATATATTTTATAGTTTTCATTATATTATGTATGTATGTATGAAATTACATAATATAAGTATCTATTTCTGTTAAACAATTTGTCATTCACACAAATTAAACCCTTTTCCTTCATTCGAATCTCCCAACACAACAAGCTTATTCTGTTATGTTGTCCCTGCAAAAGTACATTAAAAAAAAAAAAAACGGCTCTAACTCCAAAATAACTGCCCATGTTTCCGTTATTCAGTTATTCATATCTCCTGCTCTTTCTCTGCCTCTCCCGCCCTTGCTCCCCTGCCAGAATCATACCGGGCTCCGTTACCGTCATAACTGATCCCGACGTCAACTCCCACGCCGTCTACACCACCTGGCGCAACTTTACTCGCTTCCAGGACGCCGTGAAGGGCAGCAGCGTCACCGGCATCTCCGAGCTCAAAACCTACTTCCACCGATTCGGTTACCTAACGGTTCCCGATCCCCGTAGCAACTTCACGGATGTTTTCGACAAAGACCTCGAATCCGCCGTTACTCTCTACCAGAAATACCTTGGGTTACCGGTAACGGGAAAACTCGACGCCGGTACTATTTCCGTCATTATGTCACCGAGATGTGGCGTTAGCGATTCTCAGATTACTGTCCGACGTGGCAGTAGTGCTCTGCGTCCAACGAAGCACTATGCGTATTTTAACGGCCAGCCGAGGTGGACCCGTGGGACGCCGGTGACGCTAACGTATGCTTTCTCGACGAACAACATGATTCACTACCTGAGTTTGGAGGAGGTGAAAATAGTTTTTCACCGCGCGTTTTCACGGTGGGCGGCGGTGATTCCGCTGAAATTTAAGGAGGCAAGAGACTACGAAGCGGCGGATATTAAAATAGGTTTTTACCGCGGTGATCACGGCGACGGAGAGCCGTTCGATGGGGTGTTGGGAGTGCTGGCTCACGCGTTTTCGCCGGAAAACGGGAGGTTTCACCTGGACGCCGCGGAGACGTGGGCCGTCGATTTTGAAAAGGAGAAATCAAAAGCGGCGGTGGATCTTGAATCGGTGGCGACGCACGAGATAGGTCACGTGCTGGGGTTGGCTCACAGCTCGGTGAAGGAAGCCGTGATGTATCCGAGCCTGAGTCCACGAACGAAGAAGACTGAGCTGAGGATGGATGACGTGGATGGTGTACAGGCGTTGTATGGGTCAAACCCAAATTTCAAGTTCAGTTCTCTGATGGAGTCCGAGAATTCTTCGAACAAGGCCAGTGTTCTAACGAGTAGACCAGGGTCTCATTCTTTGACGATTTCTTTACTGGTGGTTGTTTATTTGATATTTCTTGCGTGTCCATGAAAGGGCAATTTTTATTTATGGATTTTTAAAAAAAAAATTTTATAGGTAGATTCAAGTTGTGAAAATAAAGAAAAATTCAAAGGAAGGGAAAAAAGTGATTCTTTGGTTTAAAAGAACTAATAATATATAAATATATATACCAACATATAGATATAAATAGGATTTAGGTTATTAGTTTTTTCATTGAAAAAAAAATATTTTTTGACTGTTAAATTAGAAAGTTCATTACTATAATATTTGTTTTCAAGTACTTCTTTTATTGGTACGATAAATTCAAACTGATTTTCACGTAATAATATTACTTACAGATATTTCAATAATAGGTAATTTTTAAACTAATGCAGATTTAAAATTTTATGAGTTTTGTGATTATAATATATGGGTTTGATGAATATGTTATGATTTAAATGGTTAAAATTATAATATTTTAATCGTATCATTGAATTCTTTTTTTTAAATGATAATAAATTTAAATTTTTTAAATATATATTCAAAAATAAAATAATATATGCTTATAAAACTTGGAAAAGTAAAAGATGGAAGATTGGCGTAGAAAAGATTAGAGAGAAGTTGCAAAGAATATGCTTAAACTTCAAAGGGTAGAAATAAAGCAGGGATTATATACTTAGAAATTCAAAACACACAAACAGTTGTTGCATATACCAATCTTACCCACAATGACAACGCTTTCTCATCTGCAATTGACCCAGGAAACTTAAAATGACAACTCTGATGTTTACTCCAATATAAATTCAATTTTAGATAGTGATATCTTCAATAGTCAGAATTCATTTTCGAGCTAATTCTTCTTCTAACTTTTTTGTAAGCAGACTTATTATACATAAGTAGAATATACCATCACGGCTCACACTCTTAAAAATTTTTGAACTCGCATTTATATCATATTTTTTAGATTATCATCTTCTACTATTATAATTTAAGAAAGTAATAATAACTTAAATTTTTTATTCTTTACTTCTCAATTGATTTAATTCTATTAATTTTCTTTTCCCTTTATATAACTCAAAACTCAAAAGATAGATTAAGTATATATATATATATAAAAATTAATTTAGAAAATATTTTTAAAATTAACACTCACTGAGTATTACTTCAAAAATACCAAAAAAGAAAAAAATTATGTTCACTTTTTGGCTTTTCTGCCTTGGTATAATTGCCCATAAAACTTTGACTGAAGTTGGGATGGATCCACTTTTATTTTAATTTGGCAAAGATGGAATCCCACTTAGCCAAAAACTTCATCATATATGTATTGTACATTAATGTAGCGTTGTAGGGGAGAGCACTATATTCTATAATTTGATTTCAAAAATGTTATTATGAAATTCACTAATAATGTTTAAGTCACCACCGTCTAAATAAAAGCATGTTTTAATTTTATTATTCATACAAATAGATTTATGATGTTTGTAGTTTTCAAAACTTTTCATAATGTTTTAAGTATTGTCCGTCAAATCTTTATATTGTAAAGGGAGTATAGTTTTAGAAAAAAAAAATATCATATTTTCTTATAACTAAGAAAATTATCTCAACTATTCTTAATATATATTGATGTTACTTAATTTTTTACGTCACTAAAAATGTCATAAAAATTATTTATTTAATTATTTTTATTAATTTATAATGTTATGCATTTTATATAATTAAAAAAATTATTTATAAATTTAAAATTAAATTATGTTTGATTTAAATTTTTATTATTTTAATTTAATTTATATATTAATTATTTAATACATACAAATTAATTAAATTTATGCATTTGATGAATAATTGAATACATTTCACTCAGTGCTTTTAATTTCATAACCGAATATTATTTTTTATACGTCAATAAACAAATAACAAAATTACTATATTAAATTAAAAATATAATTAATTTGAAAATAAAATAATATTCTCATTCGAATTTGTATTGTATTTATATTTTTAGTTAGACAAATTGAAGCATAACGTAAATTGATTCAATTAAAGAAGATTGTTAATGTTACTAAAAAATAATAGAATTTTATGAGATAAAAACTTATTAATAAAATTAGAATAATATATTAAAAATTTATACCCAAATTAATTAAATTTAAACTCTACCAAAGATTTAGCATCAAGCAGATCTTTATTATTGTTTTTAAATTATGAATTATTTCAAAAATTAATACTTAATGTACCCTTAAAGTACAAAAAGAAAGATTTATTTTTCTTCAAATTCTTAGATTTTATTTTTTTTTTATTTTTATTATTTTAATATCAGCTAAAAACCTAAAACCCTCGAGAGTGGGAAGGTTTAACCTTTGAGCTTGCTTCTCTTACCAGTAGTTTCCTTGAAGTTGTCTTCAATTTAGTTCGACTCTCTCAAATGGCGTCTGGTTGCTATAGATTCATCAGTCGAGCATCCCTCTCGTCCATCAAATCCGCCATCAAATCCAACCGTTCGAAGCCTTCTCTCTCCGGATCTACTTCCTCTCATCGGTTCCCTCTCCCTTTCGAATCGTCTCTGTCTCCTCTTCGCCGATTCTGCCTCACCAGGTTCATCTCACTCTAATGCATGCCTGCATACATATATACACATCTGAATAATTGGATACTGCATTTGCTTATTTCCCTGTATAGCTTGATACCTTTTGGAACTTATCTCTTTTAAATCTGGGTATATTGCAGTCCATTTCGGTAACTACCGATTTCTTCTTTGTCGAGAAAGTTCTGCCAAATTCCTATGTTTAATTATATGTTATGCTCTTAGGTAGTCTTACAGTATTATCCACTTCATAGTACTAAACACGAGCACCAGTAATTTTTTTCTTTTTGCAAAATATTGAGTTTCAAATTGTATGTTAATTGTGAGCTGGGGCTTCCTTAATTGTGCTTAATTTTAACTCGGATGCTTTGTTAATGTCTTCTCGAGTCTTAGTATCCTTTTGAAATGGGATTTGTCCGTTAATCTTTTAGCCTACTGATTGTAGTATCTTAAGTTTCTTGACCTTGTGAATCTTATAAATGTAAATTGACATTCATTGTGTATTTTCTGGCTTTGTTACTTGTAGGTCTCCATCTGAACTCGGATGCGTACAGTCACTGTTGCCACTGCACAGTGCAGTTGCAGCTGCGAGGTTGACATCATGCCTGAGTACAACTTCGAGGAGTTGCCGAGCACTTTCACAGGGTACACTCTGCTGCACCTCTCCCGGCCTCTAATAATAGTGTCTGTTTTTGCGTGTGAGTAGCTTTTGGCTTCTCTTATATGACCGTACTCGTTTTCCTTTTGCTTCATATGTTTGATGAGTTTGCTTCTGTTTGATGCATTGTCTAAATTATTCTATTGAGAGAATGCTTGATGATTGTGGAACTGGAGATGTCATATTAATTGTATCATTTGTTGGAGAGATGTTATTTTATTTTTCTTGTTTACATTCTTGAGTGACCTAACTTAGATGCTTAGTTAGACACGCACAAGGTTGAAACAAACATTTCACAACTGAAGTTATTCAGAAATCATAAGATGATTGTGGAGGAAGATATTTACTTTTATCATAGATCTTTGGATTTGCCCCATCTATTTGGTGCAAAATTTATTAAGTCTATAAGTTACGTATCAAAATAAGAAGGCCTGTAAAATGGAGCAAAAGAGCTTTGATGTGTCATAACACGATCTGACTGGAATATTTGGTTCCTGCAGGCACATAATTGCAATACCCTTGAAAGAATTAAACTGGGAATTCAAAGTGACAGGCCACTGCATCTTTGTCAAGTATGAAATTATATGTGCTCTCTCAATAATCTTAAAAATATTTAATATTATGAGAGTAGAGACTTGTGCTCCTTGTTTCCAATAATGTTCATTATTAGATCATAAGTTACTTTATTAATTATTTGAAACTACATACAATAAGACAACCAATTTTTTTACTTGATTAGAGGACCAATAAGTTCAAGACATTAGGCTTCTTTTGTTAACCTTCTCTTATACCATTCAAATTAGTTTTTTTGGATACTTGATCATGGTTCCCTTCTCAATCTGACCAAAAAAAATATTATTGGTTTTTCTTACCTGCAATTTTCTGATCGAGTTGGTTTTTCCAGCCTTAGACCTGAGCAAATTTTAAGTCTCTTTACAGAGTACATATCTTGTACCCTAATCAAAAGAAGGGGTGGAGAGGGTTGGGCGGATCGGAGAAAATACTGTATTTATTACGAATTTGTAGAATCGACTTTGTATCTCAAAGTTGAACTCAATGTTCTGTCCTGTTTCTTGACCTCTAGCAGGCATCGTTGCTTTATAATTTATCTTTCACTACTTTTTTCTTTGCTATGTCATGTTAGGACTTCATGGTCTTTTCTACTTTGCTTTAAAACATACACATACTGCATCCACAACTTGGTTTTGATCTTATCTAGAAAAATGGAAGCTGCTGTTGGGCAAAATCATTGTGATGATGTATTTAATTCACAGGTCTTATTTACTTGTTAGTCTCTGTCTCATCCATTTTGACCAGAATCTTGACCTTGTTTATTGACATTTGATATGTTGCATCTAGTATTATTTCTTGGCTTCATAGATTGATACTGTGCATAACTTGTTCATAACTGGTTTAGTATGCGTGACAGAACTGGCAGTTTGGTAATAACCTGAAAGCCAATTAGTAGCAAGTGAATGTAGTTAAAGGTCCAGTCAGATGTTTATAGATTAGTAGAAGTACAAACCATAGTTATTTTAGTATTTTAGCTTGAATTATATATGGTAACATGAGTGCTCCTTTTCCCAGATGGAATTGATGGTACGTGAGACTGTGTGCTGTTGTTGGAGGTGGGCTCTGTCATCAGTGTTTCGTCATTTATGATTTGAGAATATTTGGAAAATGACTTAGACGAAACTAACTTCTGTCATTAATCTGGATTTTATCATTTTTTCAATATATTGGAAGCAAATTGTATGAATTTTGATGAACGAAATGCTACATGCTCTAGCTTGTATATTTTTGATTCCATATTTGTGCTTGAGACTGCAGTAGTAAAGGACTTTGGTAACATTTAGACTGAGTGCTGACATTCTATTTTACCTACTGGCAATCTCTCCTTCTTTACCCTGTTTCTGATCTGAGTTTTTATTCTATGTTTTTCTTTAGAGCTTGGTCTGTCAGTTCCAAGGTGACTTTTTGCCAGACCACCATGAAGAATGATACTCCTGAGGTGATTGAAGCAGCAGGATCTTCTACTTACTTTTTCTGGTGGTTCTTTTCATTTTTATATATGTTCTGAGTGAACCGTTGGAAGTATTGAAAATGATATTGACTCCTCCAAATCTAGAGGAAATTATTTATGAAAATAAGAATCAAATGGTCTTGTTTGATTTGTACTTTTCACTTTTATTGGCTTTGGAGACATGTAACAGCGTCTGAGTTCGGACCTTAAACTCCACCGTTCGAGATGTCTCCCATGGAATCAATTAGGCTTCTTCAGCAGTTGATCGTATGTACCTAATTGACCAAAAACTGTACAATTCTCTCTTAGTCCCCACACGAAATTGGAAAAATTATAAAATTTTGATAAGTTTTTCTCTTACTGTTTTTTTTTTATTTAATTTTTATTTTTAAAATATGACTTGATTGTCTTTTATTAATTTTTTTTTTGCTTATTTGCAATTTTTTTTGCCTTTTAGTTTATTTTTATTTTAGACAATAACTTTTTAGTTCATAAGATTAGGGATCTTAAATTTTTTTGGTCACATTATTCCTGGTATTTTTTTAATTAAAATTGATATGCTCTTGATATTTAACATTGACATATATTATATTATAAGAGAGAGCTTATTAAAAGATTAACATATGAAGTTGACAAAAGTCAACAATAACTAAGTAATTTAATGATTAAAATTTTTGTATTCTATTTAAATGTTATAAATTTAAATTTTTTACTCATATGTATTATGAATTTTGAGATAATCATAATGAATTAAAAATTGATATAATTAATTTGTGATAAATAATAATTTTATTGATAGTATGGTAGAGAATAGATATATTTTAAAATAAGCAGAAGATTGACAATGATATTTAATAAGTTCGTTAAGAAATATGAAAAAAATAAAATTACAACATTTATTTTAAACGTAACTATCTTTTTCATTAAAATAAAAAGAAGAATGTGCTAAAGAATTTTAATGCAAATAATAATTTTGTTGATAATATAGTATAAGATATACAAATAATTCATTTTAAAATAAGTAAAAGATTGATAGTGATGTTTGATAAATTAATTACATGACATATTAAGAATAGTATTATAATATTTATTTTAAATATATTGTAATAATTTAACATATTGATAAACGAATAAATTATCGAATATTATTATATTGTTCTAAATACGTAAGGAGAATTAAAATAAATAAGATTACAAGGAAATTATAATAAAAATTATATTTATTTTTAATGAAACTACTAATGTAATTTTAACATATTTAATCCCACATATTAATTAAACATAATCAAAATTATTAATTATGGCCAAAGTTATTTCCAACGTACGAAACTGTTTCAACTATAAAGATCAGACCAACATTTTTTGGTTTCCGGCCGACCCGCCCTGACAAAATCTTTATTAAAAAATTAACGCTACTACTTCTTGTTAATTTCCATATTACCCTTAAACCTCCAAAACCCTAACCTGCAACTTCAGCACTTTCACTCTCGCTCTCTTCTCCCTCCCTTCGCTATTCAATTCGAATATCAACAAGACAAACAGCAAAGCAGTGGTAATTCTTTTAAATATGATCGAAATTTGTTTCTATTTATAATATTGATAACATGTGAATCTGCAGAGCGAGGTTCAGCTATGCTTTTTCGTGAAGACAAGTTGCATAGACAAACAGAATTTTCAGAGTTCTACTCATAACTCATACATTGCTTTCTTATCAGCTCGAGACTATGTAAGAGTTGACAGAAATAGCAGAAATATTAATCGACTTGATTTTTTAGGTTAAAAGAAATATTTGGAAGTCTAACACATGGCGGAAAGCTTTGTGTTCGAACCTCCAAGCGACGAGGAAGCCGAAAATTCGCAGCCTGAAGTGGAGGAGGAAGAAGAAGAGCAGGGGGGAGGAGAGGGAGAGGGGGAAGAGGAAGAAGAGAAGCCCTCAAAACGACGTAGCGTTCAATCCCCTTGGGACTTTGCTTCTTATTCAGAGTCCGTGGCCGAAGAACACGCTCGCCGGAGCACCACGTCTATCGATTTCAAGATATCCAAAGCTCTTCAGCAACGATCTGCCCCAATCTCCACCCAGCCTGATCACGATGAAAGCTCCGATTCTGAACCCGACCAACAGGTACCTGACGACCCAGTTTTCACCTTAATACTACGCTATATTTGAATTTTCATTTGGATTTAATTTTTTATAGGAGGATTACAAATCTGAAGATGAAGGTAATGCTGCTGGTAATTCGAATGATGCTAAGTCGTTTTTTGCGCCAGTTGAAGGTGTATCGTTTCATGCAAATTCGTTCATGGAGCTTAATCTCTCTCGTCCTCTTCTTCGAGCTTGTGAAGCACTGGGGTACTCTAAGCCTACTCCAATTCAGGTTTTGTTAATACTTAATACCTTCCATGGCTTTAACGTCATTTGTTTTGTTATGGAATGTAATTCTGGTATAGATGTCTGAGTTCCGTGGTTTTGTAGGCAGCATGTATACCTTTAGCACTTACAGGCCGTGATATTTGTGGGAGTGCCATAACTGGTTCTGGGAAGGTTAGCGGATTCTCTATATTGGTTCCTCTGTTCTTCATTTATATCTATAGAACTTGATTATTTCATAATTGGCTGATTGAAGCTTAAAGTGCACCTTCCAAAATGATTTTGAGGCTTTGTTTTTGGTTTTCTCAGACGGCTGCCTTTGCACTTCCCACGCTAGAAAGGTTATTATTTCGCCCCAAACGCATTCCCGCTATCCGGGTCCTTATTCTTACTCCAACAAGAGAGTTGGCAGTTCAGTAAGTGTTCCATTTAGCTTGTGCTTTTAAGTATATCTTTATAGTATTGTTTTCACTGTAAAAAAATGTTTTATTCTCAAAATAAAGCAAGTGAATGCTACCTAGATAGAATTATTATTTTTTCCATCCAGTACCACTGACTAATTCAATGATTTTTTTTTTTGTTTCCTGTATATCTAATTCTGACCTTCTTGATGAGTAATTAAGGATTTACTAATTTAAATTATCAAATTCTTTTGATCATGAAACTGGTGGATCCTACATGCTTTTACCATTGGGAAATTTGCATCTTAGAGTGCAAGTAATTGAGTGATAGCCAAACATTCTTTTTGGAAGGATTTTTCTTCTAGAAAACCTATTTCAAACATGTTATTATTAGTTTTATTTGGTGCCATTTTATCTTTGCCTTTTTTCATTTTGTTTTTAAAGTTATTCATGAAAATGTTTAATCTTGTTTTTCATATATGTATAACAGGGTTCACAGTATGATGGAGAAACTTGCTCAATTTACAGACATTAAATGTTGCTTGGTTGTTGGAGGGCTTTCAACAAAGGTTTGATTAATGACTTGCTTTGTCCTTTAGAAAAACAAATGGGAAATGGTGGAACAAAAGGGAGTTTCTTTTGAATATTTTTTTAGTTCATCCAAACTCTATCTTGTTTACATGACTGGATGACTTTTACTGACTTTTGCCCATTATATCTCAAACAGGCATTCTCTTCTCCTTTTCTTCTGGTTTTTTTCTGTTTCTAAATTTAATACTTAAGACTGGAACTTTGAAATGCAATTTATTATTGGAAAATTTATTTTCATGGAAAGATTTTTCTTAAGACTGACGAGGACTCTTCATGGCAAGTTTCAATCTTCAATTTCATTGACAAATCTGTTTTTGTCGAGAATACTTCTGTAACTTCAATAGGAGAGCTTTTGAGAAGGTAGAAGCTAATTTTGATAGGGTTAGTGGTAGATGGTTCCAAACCATGGGCTTCTTAATTGCTGATCATTCTTTTCATACTACGGAAAATTTTTGAAATTTTATAGGTATCCTGATTGAAGTGTAAATAATTTCCATAACTTCAATAAGGTTGGGACCTCTTTGGTGCTTGTAAATGATACATAGCATACTTTTATTTCAAAAAAAATATTTCTAACTTTCATTTTTATTTTAGGTGCAAGAGGTAGCTTTGAGAGCAATGCCGGATATTGTTGTGGCCACTCCTGGTCGCATGATAGATCATTTGCGTAATTCTATGTCTGTGGATTTGGATGATCTTGCAGTTTTAATTCTTGATGAGGCAGATCGTCTTCTGGAGCTTGGATTTAGTGCTGAAATACATGAACTGGTACTCCTTACCCTCATCTTCATGCTGATGCTGTCGGCATCAGCTGCAATTATGATAGAGTATCTGCCTTTAGCATGTTCAGCTGCTAAATACATGTTTCCGTTTTATATTGGATTGATATTCTCTCGTGTTACAGTTGGCTGATGTAAATAAGTGTTTCTCCTTGACTAATCATATCAATTATGTTGCTTAATTTATCTTTTTTTCTCAATTAGTGGAATTCAGTTGGTTGCAGGGATAATGAATGCTTACTCTTCTGAGAGAAAAATCTTACTGTGTAGTTTGTGATTGTGAATTTGTCAAAAATAGTTGTGCCTACTATCCTGGTTTAATATAAGTTCAGCTCTTTGTACCTAACCATCCAATCTATGAATGTTTCACTTGTTCTTGATCCTTTTTTTTTCTTTTTTGAATTATAATTTCCTGTTCTGCCTTTGTATCCAACTAATAATTATTTGTTGGCAGGTTCGCCTGTGTCCCAAAAGGAGACAGACAATGCTATTTTCGGCTACAATGACAGAAGAAGTCAATGAACTTATCAAACTTTCTCTGACTAAACCATTGCGTCTCTCAGCTGATCCATCTGCGAAACGACCAGTGACATTGACTGAGGAGTAAGTCCCTTACAATTTTATA